ATATGGTTTATTTAGTGATTTATTTCTTACAATTTTAGTTCTTAAAGGATTAAAAAAAAAAAAAATAAACTGAAATACGTTTTCAAAAAGTTGTCCATACTAACATTGGGGTTCCGAGATACATAAACAGATTCCCATGTAAATTCTTGTAGCTGATTAAGAAAGGAGGATACTTGGTCGTCTGAAAAGTCCCTGTACTGGATTTCAGTTCTGTTGACATTGCTTGGCTTGACATGACTCGAATGAAAAAGAGCAAATATTGGAAAAAGTTTTGGAGTGAATAATGCCATTTTCTATATTATTAGAAATATCGTTGGTTCACACGAGAGCAATAAATGATGCTGATTTACTTGTAACTCGAGTAGGCTTGGTTATTAGTAGAATGCTTTTTCTGCAAATATGTTAGTTCTATTAATGGTGCACCCCTTTGATTGATTAAATTAATATTAAAGTCTCCAGTAATGTAGACCTTTTTCCTCTCTGAGCTTGCAATGCCCAAGATGTTGATTTGTCAGAAAAGAACCTGAAATCTGTTTTGGGACGTCTGTATATAGTACTCTTATTACCTCCTGATTCTTGAATTTCCACAAAGAGAGATTCCATGTATTCCTCTTTTACTGTCAAGTCAGATCTTATGACTGCCTTATGTATGCCGTTAACAAAAATAGCTAAACCTCCTTCCCGGCGTGATACATTGATACAATATCTATTGTGATTCTGCATTTCATACAGATGTCCGATATCATTGGAGAGCTGTTTCACTAAAATCAAAAAACTGAGAAGCAGAACAACATTAATGCTGATAAATTCTTCAAAGTTCTCTGGCATACTATTGATATTAAATCCGAACATGGAAAGACATCTTTTACTGCTATATCCTATAACACTGCTCTCAGGGTACACATAATCACATTTGGGATTCTTAAAATTCAACGCTTCCACTAAGAGGTTATCAGTAGTTGTTGCATCGTCTACGCCCTCATTATGCATAATTGGTTCTACAGAAATCCTGTTCAACGCATCAGTTGGTAATATTTCATCGCATGTTGATAAAATGGAATTAAATTCAATATCATTTACATTATGAAATGGAAATATAGCATTGGATGCCATTTTAATCGCTTGATAGATACTTAAACAATTTGCCTGCCTACTTTAGGCTTGGTAGAAATTCGGGGTCCTTTTGTAGCGAGAGTGCTGCGGTCGCTACTGGTTTGGTCATGGTCGAGCACGACGTCTGGCTCCTGGCGACCGGGTCGGGGCACGTTGTCTCGTTCGTGTTCAGGCTGGCGTGGGTGTCTATCGGCGGTGTGTGGTTAGCTCCAGCAGAAGCACGAGCAGTGACGTCTTGATTCTCAGGAGTAGTAGCCTGAGGCATGGCAACAGGAGGATCGGCACTCAGGACGGGAGTGGCGGCAGGAGTAGCTACAGGATTAGAGGCGTCAATAGATGTAGATTCATGTTCAGGAGCACAGTTCATGGGATCCTCTGCCCTCGGTGTAGCGATAGCTAAAGTAAGCTATCTGCCCCTTCGCCTTTGCCTCCTTCAGCTTTTCGTTTTGGTTCTTCCTTACCTCGAAAGTGTTTTTACACAGGACCTCATTAATGAGGACCCTTGACTTGTTCTTGGCCAGCTTCTTCCTCTCCTGAAACACAGCATCCCTCTTGGGGAACCAAGTAAAGCAGACTACGATGTCCCTGCCGAGCAATGCTTTGCCAACACGGTGTACACGTTTGAAGTCTGGTTGTATGTTGAAGTTGTCCCGTAGGGATTTGGTGACCTTCCATTGTGTCTGCTCCCAGTTTTCCTGTCTGTCTTCCGGAATTCCGATTATTCGCAGGATATTGCGTCTGCTGTAATTATCAAGATAATCTACTCGTTCTACCATCTCTGCCATGACATTCCTTGTCCTATTTATTCAATGGCTTAGTTCGCTTATATGAGTTCGCAGGTGTTTATTTTCGTTCTTCATTTGATCCAATACTTCTTTTTCCTCTCAAATTCGCTGTAAGAACTCTAGGCTTTTTTCAAGGTTCACATATTTGTCATTAACTTCCTTTATTTTGCGCGCTGTTTCCTTTTCAATCCGCGCTATAGCGTCATTAAAGTTGTGGCGTTGCACCTCCAGCAGTGTCATCATCTCCTCCCGTGACATGTGAGGCGAGAGCGGCGGCCAAACCACCCACTGGCTGGCTTGATTGCTAGGTCGCATAACTGGAACAACCCAACCACCGGGCAGATGTTCAGAGCGAGAGGTGGGCAGTAAGCAGGTGAAGAGTGGCGCGGTAGACAGACGGAGGCGAGGGCAGCACACGAGCTCAACAAAGGAGGGGGTGGGGGAGGTGGTTGGTGAAGACGTTGGGTGGAGGTTCAGGCAGGAGCTTGTGAGCGAAGTGGAGAGTGGAGGGTGAGGTCACGTGACTTCATAGTGCGCATGCGCAACCCCAGCAACATGATTTGAAGGGGGGTGGGGCGGCTGATTTCAAATTTTCAGACAAAATCACTTCAGCCAAATATAGGGTCAGGGTGATCACTGTAGCTTCATTTACTCACGGGCAATATTGGAAGACTTGTTTGTGACCTTAAACCACTCGAAAAAGCTTCCAAAACATACAGCAGGAACGAGCTTGACTGCGCACGTGGGTCCTATTACGAGACGGAAGCGATCGCGTCGGGTACGGAAAGGGACTCTGCCTACATGTTTTTTGAGAAATTGTTGAAAGAGAAGAATGTTGCCTGAGTAAGGAGTTGTAGGGGGATCACGAAAAATCAGTCCCATTTAGCTGGGCTAAATAGAGTAGTTAAGATATTTGTAGGGTTGGTGGTGGTAGAGTTGATGAATTTGAGGAAGTTGGGAGGGTAGCAATGGTTTCTGGAGACTGTGTCTCTACTTGGGTGAGTAATGCACTAGTAGGCATTGAGGAGTGGGTAGTAGTTTCAGTGTTCTGAGTCGTGGTCAAAGAAGAGCCTGGGGTTGGGGAGCCGGTGGGGCTATTTGATGAAGGGGCAAGCCTCATTGCCCCTAATAGGGGTATCACATCATCATTACTGGCCATGGGAAGCCTTGATTATGTAAAGGGAAATAAACAGTCCACACCCCAGTGCGCCGTACAGGGGTAAGGGCTAGACAACTAAATCGAGAGTACCGTGCCCATGGTTACCACAAGCCGTTCAGGAATGGCACAAGGTCAGCCTTTCATCCTTTCAGCACGGCTCTTACACCTTAGGAAGTAGATAGTAGAAAGGATTGGAGAAGGGACAGAAACAAAAAGCTGGAGGGGGAAAAGACCATGCAAAATTAGTTGAGTCGAGGGCTGAGGCCCTAGACAGGGGAGATCCCTGCATTGGGTCTGTCTCCATTTCCTAAGCCCTCCCATGACAACAACGGGCAAGGGATTGGGGGAGGGGGGTTTAGAAAACATGCTACTCTTAATTATAGAACATTAATGGAACACAAAGCCACAGTAAGGTTAATGTGGACAAATAGACGCTTTATGACTGTGTGTGCGTGCGCAAATGTGCGTACCTGCAGCATATATGAAACTGCGAAGTGAATATATGGGGATGATGTGCGATACAGTACGTAGTGTAGTGGACGTGAGGTAACCCCACTAAGCAGGAGTCCAGACTAGGCGAGTCTCCCCTTTTCTAGCCAGCACCAGCACCATCTGTGGGGATCGGCGGTAGCCAGCTGCAGTTTTGCTTCCCTGGAGCCCTTTTATGTTTTATTTATTTTAGCTTTTTCTCACGGCCTCTAGTTTTATTTTAATTTCTTTTAAGTATGTAAATTTCTTTTATTTTCATTCATTTTTATTATTTACACATTTTATAAGAGCCTATATAAAGAGGCTGTTTTGTGCTAAACTCTCTCTTGGGTTGTTGGCTCGTCAGTGCTGCTCACGGAGCGCCCGGCCTCACTGGACGTCTCCTGTTTTGTTGTATTTCTTCGTTTTTTTCTTCTACAAGAGAGAGAAAGATAAGTATATTCATGTTTTGTAAAAGGCCAGTCAGAATGTGTTATATGAATTGTACCTTTTGTGAATATACAGACTGAGGGATCTCAGGTTTTCCTTTTTATGCGTTGGTTTCGTTTTATCCTTGGTTTGTTTATTTTACTGTTTTTTTGGTTTTAAAAGAAGAATGAAATATTGATAAAATGGAAAAAGAATATGACTACATTGATAAACAATAATAGCAGTGAATAGGAAAAGTTAAAGTAAATGAAGGTTTAATTAAAGATAATGTAATGTCTTTTACTCACGGGGTTAAAGGGCTTCAGGGTTGTGACGAACGGGTCATGCTGCAGTGCACGCCAGCTACCATCCTTTTGAAAGCAGCTCCCCTGTTCGTAAGTTGCGCTCTGCAAGACCCGCGTTGTAGTTTGAAAGTGTCTCAACTGGGAGGGGATAACACTACAGTAGAATTCGTTTCGGTAATTCTGGATACCCTCTATTTTGTACTAAAATGTGATCCTAGTTTTTGCTCTTATTATTCAAAGTCTTAGGGATTCTATGAGGAGACACATCCATTTGAACAGCTGGCTCCAGGGAGGGTCATTGTCAAAAGCGTGAGAACCGACTCCCAGTATATATTACATCTTAATTATTATTTTATTTATTTATTTATCTTTTACCACCCACTAAGAGGTGGACCGGGTTTGGAAAAGTCACCCATGAGTGGATCACTTTATCTCAGTGATTTTGTTTGGTAAAAGAGATTGAACTTTATTCATATTGGTGACGAAGCATGGGAGCTTCGTCTCTTGGATTTTATCTCTTGGTCAAATCTGGGCTGAGAGATCAGCCTTTTATGGGAGTCACACCCTCCAAACAGCGATGGCTGCCCGGGACACCGGACAGAAGCCTCCCATCCCCGACAATCGAAGGTGGGAGACATCCTCCTCCCAGATGGCCACCAGAAGCCGCCGTCCACGACGCTCCGAAGTCGCGAAGCCCCTGGCTACCGACCTCCCCCCCTTGTAAGGCTCGCACCGTGTTCTTCACTTAGGCCAACCGAGGCAGCAACTGCTGAAAGTAAGTGGAGGGCCCAACCTCCACCCTGACGCTTTGCATAGGCGCCTCGTACCCTGAAGTAGGTGGTCGGCCTCAGGAAATACTTGCTGAAAAATATTCCTCTACAAAGTCACAGATAATTAATGCTACGTTTTCTTATCACGTACTTGAAGAAACATATCGAATGGTTTACGTAGTTTCCCAGAATATATATTAACACACTTGTTTATTTGTAGTATACCACACTTTTTTTCTTTCAGACAAACTAGTATTTACTCTATGTTTGCATGATAATGGCCGCTAGATATACGAAAGACGGACCCAACAAACGTACCGAAATATGATTCCAGAACTGTAGCTTCAGGATTTTGCCAAAGTGTTGGTCTTGTTCAGTGTTTGCGATGACCTGGAAAGCATTGCAGGGGTCATGAAGATCTCGAAAGCATTACGCGCGCTTCTTTAAAGATTATCGGCGGAACAACGTGGATAATTCATGGACACAAAGATCGGATATATCGTTCGGGTCAATGCTTCGGAATATCCATACAAATATACTCACTACAGTGCATCCGACATTCATGGAGCAAACGGAAAGATCAACAAATCCACATGATAATGTCTGCTTAAAGGAACATAATCAAGATTTAAAAATTGAATATTCAAAATTTCTGAGATTCTACGTAAAAGGCAATAACTGTTCATACAGAGAAAACCATAGAAATCTTCAATTTTCTGTTTGATTAACATAAAAATAATCCATAAAAACAAAATTGCTTTCTTGCGGTGTCTTTCGACCACATCCAGGACTGAAAAAAACACTATTGTCGCCCACATGTTTAAGGCACAAAAGCTGAGAAGTGAGGTTCCTCAATAGCAATTGAAAAATATTCAAATAATTTAATGATGCAAGGACACCGTTGTATTGGTCAGACGAAGGAATAGGGGGGAGGGGGTGTCCTTCAACTGTTTGGAATCACAAATTTGCTCTTATTGTGAATACTCATGTCAGTGACGAAAGTGTTAACATATGTACAAGAAAAAAACAAAAACAACGACTTTAGCAAGCGTTGACCGGGCGGCGAGATGTCAGGGCATGCGAGACTATGGGAGGCTGGCAGATCCCTCGACAGCAGAGGCAACCGATCATCCTGACGCAAAGAACGGACGATCCAAGCCCCCACCCTGGCTCCCTGCCTGAGGTTTAGCTTCGGGCAGTCTCTCCGGGTGGACGCCACCTTTGCCACCCCCCCGCCGACGCTGCTCCACATAGAAGGGGACGGCAGGCTGTGGAACCCACCATCCACCTACGGGGCTCCCAAAGGATTTCCCCGTAAGCTTCACTCCGGGCTGGCGTCTACCAGAACGCAGGCGGGACGAGTATATCTCGCTCCCGTCCTGCGTCCCGGAAGTCGCCCTCCCAGCGGGATCCACAGCAGTTCCCTTCCTCCCAGCATTACCATATATAGTTAACACTGCCGATGTTTGTTTGTTTTTATCTGGGGGGAGGACTGGCAAGGCCAACCTTACCTTGCCATTATATATATATATTATATATATATATATATATATATATATATATATATATATATATATATATATACATATATATATATACACATACAAAAAGATACATACACAGATACACACACACACACACACACACACACACACACACAACACACACACACACACACACACACATACACACACACAACACAACACACACACACACACACACACACACACACACACACACACAACAACATATATATATATATATATATATATATATATATATATATATATATAAATATATATATATAATTATAACGATATGTTGGGCCCCCCCCCCCGCGCGAGAGTTAAAAAGTAAAAGGAAGCACGTTCACTGAAGTCTGTTATTTATCAACCTACATATATATATGTTTATGTATATATATGTATATATATATATGTATATATATATATATATATTGTATAAATATGTATATATATCTATATCTATATCTATATCTATATCTATCTATCTATCTATCTATCTATCTATCTATCTATCTATCTATCTATCTATCTATCTATCTATCTATCTATCTATCTATATAATATATATGTGTGTGTGTGTGTGTGTGTGTGTGTGTGTGTGTGTGTGTGTGTGTGTGTGTGTGTGTGTG